CGTCAGTGCCTCCACATCGTCCTGTCCCGTTCCCTTGGCTCGCACGACGGCTGCTGTCACTGCCATTCTGAAGAAACTCCCCGCACTGGACCGCAGCAATCCCTGCAAAAATTCCATCCTCTCTCAAGCCGCTCATTCATAGCAAGGGTCACCTACTCACATGACTCCCGTCCCTCCACAGTCTCCACGACCCAGTGCAATCAGGTTTCTGCCAGGACCATTCCACCGCAATTGCTTGCGCACAGGTGGTAAATGACCTCGGTCTCTCTTCAGATCGTGGATCCGAACTCGCTCCTAGTTCTCCGAGACCTCTCCCCTGCTATGGAGGCGTCTCCACCCACACCTCCACCCTGGTCCCGCTCGCGCCTCCCACGCGACAGGTTTTTTTTTTCATTTTCATTTATCAGGTATATCCCTGTGAGCCATTCGGCTCTTGAATCGGGTACAACCGCAACAAACAAAAAACAAAAACATGAACAAGAAAACATCTTAAAGTGACTAAGTGACTATGTGCAAACAGAAAAATCCAAGAAAAGACAGCAAAATATTGCAGAAAAAGCACCGTACACCAACGCTGTGTGCAAAAATCCCAGTGGGATGCAAGTCAAACAACAACAACAACCACAAGACAACTTAGATTAAGGCCATCAGTCTAACTCCATACTACAACAAACAAACATGGCCAAACCAAAAAACTTTTCGAAATCACCAAAATAAATCCATAAAAGCAATGTAACAGTGATCATAGGAACTGTGACCGAATTTTCACAATAAACGACAAGAGAAAGGCAAAGTTTGATTTCTGGCACCTGTACTGAGATAACAAGAGGGTGAATACAAACGTGTTTTGAACGGACGCACTGATAGGTACAAGACGCCGGGGAAGACTGCAAATTTAATTACAGCTGAATGGAAAGACGGTCGTGATGATGGACTTTGAGAGAGGACGCGGCGCACACACGGAGAGAGAGATCTTGCACCTCCGTGAATGAACATTTACGTTGGGTTGGCGAGCGACGGAGCGAAACGAAATGCTCTGGGCCCTTCCTTTGGCTGAACCGTCCCTGGAGTTGTTCTGAGGACGCCGTCCATCTCCCACACGGCCACTCTTTGAGAGGCGGCGATGCGCCGCTCACCGCCACACGGAGTATTCTGATGGGGGCGGGGGGGAGGGGGACACGGCCCCCCTCATCTCGTAACACGACGCCGATCGGAGAGGTGGGGAACGCGCTTGGAGATAAAACGGAAAAATCCCGACGTTGATGTAATGCAATGAAAACGCGAGAGTGCCCTTCTCGGTGACAGCTGCCGTGGACTCGCGTGGCTGACGCCCTCGGAATGGACTTCGACGAGGCCTCCTTGCACTCCAATTTGTGCAGTGCTGGAAAACCAATGCACCCTCAACCCCCCCCCCCCCCCCCCACCATCGCTCTCATCTCCCGCTCTCTCATCTCTCTCTCATCTCTCTCATCTCTCTCATCTCTCTCATCTCTCTCTCATCTCTCGCTCTCTCATCTGTCATCTCTTTCTCATCCCTCACTCTCTCATCTCTCTCTCATCTCTCTCTCTCATCTCTCTCTCATCTCATCTCTCTCTCATCTCTCTCTCATCTCTCTCATCTCTCTCTCATCTCTCTCTCATCTCTCTCTCTCATCTCTCTCTCATCTCTCTCTCTCATCTCTCTCTCATCTCTCTCTCATCTCTCTCTCATCTCTCTCTCATCTCTCGCTCTCTCATCTCTCGCTCTCATCTCTCCCTGCTAGTCGAGCGTGAAGGCTTTCCCTCTCGAATTAAGTCTGACGTCTGTAACCGCGAAAACAAGATGTAAAATATTTGCCCTGTGAATGAGATAGCAACAACACAAAATCCATTCTCCGCGTTTGGCTGTTAAAAATGCACCTTGGGTTTTTTTGCTTTGAGCGTTCGGGTTTTATTTTGTTCCTTTTTGTTTTGGCCTCGGTTGCTCTGAGGTTTCACGCTCACGCATCGATACAAGATTCGTGAGGCGAACCCGGCCACTGCCTTCCTGCACGGGGCGGCCTTGACATTAAAAAATAATGTCCGGCGTGTAGTAGAAAATTAAACCTTGCCAAAGCTTAAATGAAAAAAAAATCAAACGAAAACACGGATCAAATTTTCTGGTAAAAATTCGCAAACCGGAATACAGCGTGCGGTGGATTTGTTTGCAATATTTGAGTCTTCAAAACTTTTGTGATTGGATTGCCATCTGCCTGGGTTTGACCCAGACAACCCTGTGCATATGTACGTATGTATGCTGAACTTCTTTCGTACCGTACGTAGCCAACGGTGCTAACCACAGGCGCCTGTGGTTAACGCAGTACTTGATTTCTTGCAAGAGGTATCTCTTTCGTGTTTGTACATCTTAACACCTCCTGTTCTATTGCCAGAAAGGGTCAAACTATTCTCATTTTTCATATTTTAATACTGGCGAAATGTCCCATGATATAGCTGCTGCTCACTCCGAGGTCTAAATGCTCTGATACGCGTGGCATTGTCCTTGTGCTGTCCACCTTTTGGCGTCCTTCTCTGGTCTGACACTGGCGGTGAGACCAGGCCCTGAAGAAGGCTGCTATCTCTGGTGCAGGCCAATCAGTTTCAAAGACAATGCAATCTATCATTATCAGAGCGTGTTTGTTTGCATGTTCACAACAAGTACCTGTGGTTAATGCGGACTTGATTCTGTACCAAAGGTTCCTGTTTCGTGTTTGAACATCTTAACACCTCCTGTGGTATTGCCAGAAAGGGTAAAACCTATTCTTATTTTTTATACTTTGATACTCGCAAAAAGGTATCCCACGATATCTAACAGGAGGCGTTGCCACCCCCACCTGTGTTGGGATGGCAACAGGAAGTGGGTTGTTCCGGTGTTGCTGTGCTGAACTTTATTACAGGGAAACTGCACAGTTTTGATCATAGAACTAAACTAAATCTATTAGACTATATTACTATTTTACCAGGTAAGGCCCACTGGGCTGTACAGCTTTTTTTGAGCAGTGACCTAGTCATCACAAATGATAGCACAACGGAAGTGGCTTATCATCATGTGGAAATTTTTCGCGTACAAGTACTCGAAATGCATGATTCTAAACGTTGAGATGAAAAACCGGAGGACGCGAAGAAAAATCCAAGCGACCACGGGGAGAACACGCAAGCTGGCGCCAGGGTCGGGATCAAACCCACGACCTCCTGTGTACCAACCGAGGTCGTGCTAACCGTAGACCCATAGGCTGCCGGAGATATATTAGTAAGTGAAAATGATGGCAACCCGACCCAGGCTCACTCATATACATAAGCGCCTTCATTTCTTTACCTGGATAAAACCTGAATATGCAACACCTCATTTGCACGGGTAGCCAGTGAGACTACGAGAGAGTTCCTCTCGGCGCGGCCTCTTTCTCCACCGTGTTTCCTGTAGACACCCTCCTGCTGTGCGTAAATGCGAGGCTCCACGTCGCTGTCCTCTGCGGATTTCGGACGATCGGGCCGGGGTGCAAATTTCATCTGCAGTGGGTGACGTCTCCATTGAGCGATGCATAAATAAATCAATACGCGGATAAATAAATAAACGCATCCATCGTTCCGGATGAGCGCTGCTGGGTTCCTCCTGCTCGCTCCGTGAGTGCTTTCCCAGCTCCACGACGCCCCCCCCCCCCGACCCACCCCCGGAGCCAGCAGGAGGCATCGTGGTCCTTTTGTCGGCGCGTGATTCAATTCGCGGGCCTTCTTCGTCGATCCACCGCTGCATGGAGGGCTTTGTCACGAATGCGCGGCATGGGCCGCGCCGGTCCACGCCGGTTGCGGGGTGCGGTGCCTGGGACCGGTTCGGATATCGCTGCGCGCCGCTGATGTTGGCCGTTAATGGCATTCGGGGGTCGCCGGGTTCACGGCGCGGTGCGCTGATTGCCGCTGCCGCCAAGCGATCGTTACGATGCTGCCGGTAATGAAGCCGATGAGCGGATTCTTATTTTAGTTTTTTTTACTTGATAATTACGAATGATCCGTCGACGCTGGCGGTGGCGAGTCAGGGCGGAGCAGATGGCCCTGGCCACCCGTGCGGGGAGGCGCCCATGAGCCCCCCCCCCCCCGGCGGTGCCGGCATGTGGCATCTGAACCGGTGAGAAACACAACACCGCTACTCTGCTGCTGGCTCCCTCTCCCACCCGAACGATTTCAATGTTAGGTCGCCGAATTTATTCAATAATTTTAACTGCATACGCATTTGTCTTTTTTGGGAAATAATTATTTGAAGGCGGTGGGGCGTGGCGGTAGTTATGTACTTATGTATGTTGAATTTATTTCGCACCGTACGTAGCCAACCGTGCTAATCGGAGGTGCGATTGCCAAATAAATCGGCAGCCTGCCGCCTAAATCGGTGCGGTTGGCAAGCGCGCACCGGGGCAGTGGTTCCCAACCGGCAGTTCGCGCGCCACGCCGGCGCCCTCCGCAAGGCCGCGGGAAGCGGTCCGTGGAACCAGCGCGGGGCGACGACGAGATCTCGTTTTCGTAGAACCCCGTCGGCTCCATCTCACCGCACCGTGGTCCACGAGGAGACGTTTTGTTCAGGGGTCAGCGGTGATCCACGGGGAACCACCACAACACGCGTGTGTGTGTGTGTTAGTGTGCGCGCGTGTCTGTGGGTGTGTCAGTGTGCGCGCGTGTGTGCCGTGAGCGGTAGTGTAGCGGTTAACGCTCCGCACTACGAACCCAGCGACCCAAGTTCGATTCCCGCTCACGGCCAACATAAGTTATCTGAAATGGTCCTGGGCTTCCCTTAGGTCGACTCAGCCTGAAATGAGTGCCTGGTGCAGTGTCTAAACATCGTCACTCGGGACATAAAGGTGGCCGGGCGTGGTGCTGCCTGCCCACTTCTTCTTGCGCCGTGCCGGCCTTCACAGGTACTCGTCGTTCACGGCCCTTGCCCCAGCATTCCGTGAAGGTTATCCGGGGGGGAATCTTTGTCTTTTGTGCCGTGAGCGCAGGTACAGGTGGGCCGGCAGCAGGTCGCGCTCCTTGAGCACCTGCCCCCCCGGCTCCTCTCGGCGCTGAGGATCCGTCCGCGGCCGCCGCCGCCGCAGCAGCCGCAGCCGCGATGCCGGACAAGAAACTGATGCAGGACGACCTGGGCGACGCCCGGGTCGGGAACCAGAACTTCTACGGCCACGCCGCGGACGGCCGCGCGTTCCGCCCCGTGGGGCCGGGCCCGGTCGGCCGGGCCCTGGGGGCGTTCGAGCGCGAGCCGGCCGGCTGGGCAGACGAGGGCGGCTGGTACGAGCGCCTGCCCCCCCTCTACGCGCCGGCCGACTGGGGGGCCGTGCTCAACCTGCCCGAGATCGAGGAGTGGCTGCGGCGCACGGCGGAGCGCGTGCGGGACCTGGCGGAGTTCGTGCAGCACGACACGAGCAACCGGCACATCGACTTGCACCTGGTGCAGCTCAAGGTCGGCGCCGCACGCGAACCCCCCCCGAACCCCACCCCCCACGGTGGGGGGGGGGACAAACGGTGTCCCCCCCCCCCCGGCCGTGTAGCCTCGAGCAGACCGTGGGTGCCGCGTGCTGTCGACGCGTGACGATGAAGGTGCGGCGCACGAGCTGTACGTGTGTGGGTTGGACTTCTTTCGCGCCACCGTTCGTAGCCGACCGCGCTAATCGGAGGTGCGGGGGAAGAACAACAAACTAAACGCAACAAGAAGAAACAGGTCTAGAGAAATGAGTTCTCGTTAACTTCCAATTAACCGTGTCGTTTTACGTCAAGGTAAATAAAACTTCCAAACTTATAGTAAAATGCATTGATTTTATTAATTATATTTTCTTGCCTTGGTGCAATTATCGATTTGTGTTGCTGCACAATTTAACTAAGCAAACGTACAGTGCAGGATCAATTCTGCGAGACATTGAGATGTTCTCCCGTATACTCAGTCGGCCACACGGGGAACGTAACCCCCCGTTCCCTATGGAAACACGGCCTCCACGTTCGCAGAGAATTCTTCTCTCGCATCGATTTTCAAGAACCCAACCCCTCGCGAATGTCGAGGTCTCACCGTATTATCATTAATTACACTGGTCAACACACTTTTTCTGGCATAAGGTATTCCAACGGTTGTTAGGTAATTTTGGGGTGCTGATTTCAAATCTGGCATCAGTTTTTGTCTATCACATCAGGTTTTCGAGATATCAAATATTGCATTTTCAATAAAAATTGCAGAAGAAAAATATTAAATAAATGTAGATATCTACATAAAATGATATTATGAACACACTATCCTAAAAATACAGTACCATATTTTAACACTAAAGCAGTCACTGACTCACAAGAACTTGCAATCATAAGTGACAAGAGTTAATTTCGGGTAAAATCAATGAAAATGGGGTATGCCGATAGCATAAAAATGAGATGTGATAGAGCAAATCTGAGATCAGATTTGGAATCAGCACCCTGAAATTAGTCTAAAACAGCTGCAAAAGTCCAGGCCAGAAAACAAAGGGTTTTTTTTGTTGACCAGTGTAATTATTCTTGATTTATTTTTTCTGCAGCCTGCGCACACTTTTTGCATCTCGCGAAGTTTCTCGTCATTTACCGAGAGCGCTAGAATCGGTTTCCGTGGAGCTGTTCATTCTCGGTTTCCGGCGGGATGAGGTGGCCACCTCCTTGAGGTTCAGAAAACCGGGGCCCATCACGGGCGGAAGGTCTCACAGCAGCGTGGCCACGCGTGCAACGCACGGCCTTGAGCGACGCATTCAAATGTATAATTATTGCTGCTGCTGTTGTTGTTACAAAGCAACTGACAAAAACGCGGGGCATTTAATCCCCCCCGGGAGGACTTGCAAATTACCCAGGACAGCAGCTGCTGATGATGATGATGATTCTCAATCTTTGCCGTCTCTCTCTCTCTCTGTATGTCTCCTCGCTCTTCTCGTCCAGTCTCTTCACTGGAACAGACTTCCCCCCGCCATATTAAGCGGTCCCCTTCGCTCACTTAAGTTTCCGCTCCGCACTCAAAACTCTCTCACTGTTACCCCTAGCTCACCCCACGAACCCCCCCCCCCCCCCCCCGCTTAATCTCCCCCTCATAACCGCCACCGTTACTGCTCCCTCTTCATATTCTCATTCCGTGGCTTCCACTCATTGACCCATCCAATCAATCTACACGTCATCATTTACTGCCATCGATTTCACTTTCACGGAATTCACGCATCACAGATTTGTCCCCATTGCTTCCTCTCATCTATTTCATTCACCTCATCTCCACCATTGCATCCATATGTACCGTTGTTAACTCCGTGTAAACCGCCTTGGATAAGGCGCTCGATACATTCCTTTAAGATAAGATCCTGGGGTGGCAACCATGTGGCTGAGTGGCGTGCGTGCGTGCCGCCGCAGGACATCAGTGAGGACATCTCGAGCCACGTGGAGGTGGTGCACGCCTTGCTCGAGACGGCCTTCCCGCTGCGTCTGCTCGCCGTCTCCGTGCAGGTGGGGCGGTGGAGGCCGGCCCCGCTGCGGTGGAGTGAGCCGTGGAGTTGTGGCTGTGGCTGTGGTGGTTGCGGCTGCTGTGTTTGTGCCTGTCTTGATTGCGACGGTGACACCTGTGAGTGTGGTTGTGGAAGTGCCGGCCGTAGTCGTGACATTTTCCATTTCGAATTTTTATTGTTTTGTTGAAGATGGTGGCTGTGTGGTAGTAACAGTTTGGTGGTTGTGGGGGTTTCTCCCCCCCCTCCTCCTCTTCCTCCGTCCCCCCTTCCCCCCCACCCGCACAGGTGTTGCTGGACATCCAGGCGGCGCACCTGCTGTGGCACCAGCTGCGCGTGTCCACGCTGGTGCTGCGCGAGCGCATCGTGCGCTGCCTGCAGGACTCCAACGGGAACTTCACGCGCCAGCCCGACATCCTGCAGGCGGTGGGGGGCGGCGGGGGGGAACACGTGAGCGCCAGCAACAAACAGACAAACAAACGACCGCAGCAGCGGCAAATCACACGACGTCAGCGGGGACGACGGGAGAGCCGTTCGCGGCAATGGCATTCGTTCACGTGGAAAACAAGAATGGCTTTTAAATTTTCTGGCAATGCATCAGGTGTTAAGATGTCTCTGGCGTAGACCAATCAGTTTCAAAGGCAAAGCGTTTATTATCGGAGCGTGTTTGTTTGAATGTTCACCGCAAGTACGCGTGGTTAATGCAGACTCCATTCCTTGCAAGAGGTTTCTATTTGGTGTTTGAACATCTTAACACCTCCTGTTCTATTGCCAGAAAGGGTAAAACCTATTTACATGTTTCGTACTTTGATACTGGCAAAAAAGGTCGCAGCATTAGTTCATCATGACGACGTTACCAGCAACATTCAAAACATCTCTCAAGCCACCCGTAAACCACGTGACGTCCATGTGGTCACTCCCACTCTGAACCCCTCCTCCCCTTCTCCCCACCCACGGTGAAAACGCACGCCGCTCCGTGCAGCAGCGTCGAGGCCCTCATGCAGCCTCCTCCTCCCTCTTCTCCTCCTCCCTCTCCTCCTCTTCCTCCTCCTCCCTCTCCTCTTCCTCCTCCCTCTCCTCCTCTCTCTCCTCCTCCCTCTCCTCCTCCCTCTCCTCCTCCTCTTCCTCCTCCTCCCTCTCCTCCTCCTCCCTCTCTTCCTCCTCCTCCCTCTCATCCTCCTCTTCCTCCTACTTCTCCTCCTCCCTCTCCTCCTCCTCCCTCTCCTCCTCCTCCTCCCTCTCCTCCTCCTCCTCCCTCTCCTCCTCTTCCTCCCTCTCCTCCTCCTCCTCCCTCTCCTCCTCCACCCTCTCCTCCTCTGCCTCCTCCTCCCTCTTCTCCTCCACCCTCTCCTCCTCTTCTTCCTCCTTCCTCTCTTCCTCCTCCCTCTCCTTATCGTTTTTGTTCACCTTTCCTATACTTCGCACTCCTGTCGTGTTTTTTGTATCCTTTGTCGTTGTGCCTCTACTGGACATCTGTGAAAAAGAGCTTCATAGCTCATCGGATTCCTCCTCCAGTATGAATACAGATTCCGATTCTGATCCCTCCTGCACCCCGTGCTCCCGTGTCTCCATCCCTTTTCCATCCCTCTCCTCTCGTCCCCCCTCTCCCTTCTTCCTCTTCTCTCTTCCCTGCCCCGTCCCTTGCTCGCTGCCCATTCGTTACAACTCCCCTTCCCGTGACGGCGTAGCCACGGGTACGAAGCTGCGAGTCGACAACGCATTAGCAGCAGCGGCGTGCACAACGATGACGTTCACCGCAACAACATTAGCAGCAGTTACAACTGCAGCGTTAAAGCAACATAACACACAACAGCAGCGACAACAACAACAACATGTACGCAGCAACAGCAGCAGCAACAGCAACATTGGCACGGCTCCCGTGGGGTCGAGGCCACACTCAGCGGCTGCACATTCCCGTTGCTGTAGAGCACGGCAGTCGAGAGGGGAGGGCACAGCCGGCACCGCCGAATACCCTGAGTTCGAATCCAGGTCTTCTTCATCCGCCGCCTGTGATGAAACCTTGCGTTTAGTTTGTTGTCCTCCCGCCGCGCCTCCGACGAGCACGGTTGGCTACGTACGGCGCAAAAGAAGTTCAATGTACACACGCACAGAGATGCACACCGGGCTCTCCAGCATCGCGAGATAATGGCACGGTCACGAGACGACTGTACAAAGAAACGCCGATGAAGCGAGTCTGTGCCACCTTGGTTTGTGTACGTACCGCATGTGGAACTTCCCTTCGCACCGTACGTAGCCGACCGCGCTAACCGGAGGTGTGGGGGAAGGACCGCAAACTAAACCCCCCCAAAAAATGTGTTTGAAAAAAAATGACTTTTCAATCTCGATTTAAAAGTGCCTAGCTCCCAGTGGCTTCCGAATAGGAAGGCAACGGCGTTTGCGTCCGCAGAAGCGCATCCGCAAGCGCGCGATGCGGTGACCGTCTTTGTTCGATGGCGAGCCAAAAGCCGCTGCGAGGTTTATGGCACATCCAGGCCGCGTGCAGGTCGCCAGACGGATTGTGACGTCGCAGAACCGTGAGAGATGGCGACGGCTTGGAGGGGCCTTCGTCACGCAGTGGATAGATCATAACTAAAAACATCGATTTCTCTGTCACGCTGTGATCATTACTTACGGTGGTGGGACAGGTGGCTGGGGGGGGGGGTGCTATTACTGTGTGGACCAGCGGTCATTTGAAGGGCTCTCTGAAGTGGTTCTGTGATATGCACTTCCGTGGGCCATTCTCTAGCAGTGAAGGGTGGAACTGCCGTGCGAGACCTCCGGGCGGGTACGGAATGTCACCACGGTGGGTGAAAATTAGGGGTCGTCCATAAATGACGCGACTTTGGACGATTTTTGACCCCCCCCCCCCCCTCGTCACACGGTGTCACAAAAAGTCAGACCCCCCCTCAAATATGACGTCACAAAGCTCTGCCTCCCCCCCAAAACCATATTTCCATGTATTTAATGTGGCGCTGCACTCTGATGTTGTAGGCGTTGGAAAGCTTAAATTTAGCATAAAATTCACTTGAAAATATTCAACGTCTAACTAAAACTGCAGATGTTCAACACATTATATTTAAATTATCTTATAATTATAAAATATTAAAAGTAATTATAACTATTAAAAAAATACTTGAAACTTTGTAGTAGAAAGAAGCAAAATGGAGAGTCAAATTATACAAATTATATATTCATTCCACAGAATGAAAAGCCCTGGTAGAATCATTAGAATCAAAATGTTTAATAGCAATCATTAAAATAAATTCAAAATGTATGCTTCTCCATTCTCCCGTGGAGAAGCATAATGCTCCTTCATGGAATAAATAAAAGGTGACCTTAATAAATTTAAATAATCAAATAGTTATTAATTAAAATTAATCAAAATTAGTATTGTCATAACAATTCAATATTTATTTAAAGTTGCGCATTTTGATGTGACGTCACATTTCTCAAACCCCCCCCCCCCCGCGCCTAGGTGTGTGACGTCATTTATGGACGGCCCCTTACAAATAGAACGTAAAGTGAACAGAGTCCGTTAAAACTCTCGCAGAGTGTCAGAGAAGTAGCCCTGGGAAAAGACATCACAGAGCTAGATCTGAAGTGACTGCAATAGGCGTCTTTATGCGCACTCGGGGCGCGTCCTTGTGTACGCATTGTGTTGGCGAAGCTGCTTTACTATACCTGGGGGAAGGGGGAATTACGAACCCGTTTTGTTGAACTAACAAAACACAAACGCCGCTCCCGCTGCCCACACAGAGCTGCTTCGAGTCCCTGGGCAGCGTGGAGGACCTGCAGAACCTCATCGTCAAGTGCTCCAAGAATTATTTCTCGCTCGACTGCGGCATCACCGCCATCGAGCTGTCGGACTACAGCCCCAAGGAGGAGGAGGCGGCCGCTCCGCATGCCGACCCCGACCCTGATGGACGGGAGCCGCTGGAGGCCGACGCGGAGGAGGAGGATGAGCAGGTGAAGGAGGTGAAGGAGGTGAAGGAGGAGACGGTGCGATCGGCAGGTCCAGGTCGGCGCGGCCGCCGCGAGCCACAACCGGACGTCGGAGCCGGTGGCTTTCCTGGCATGGCCGACGGAAGCCGCCCGTTGGCGTGCGGTTCGACCGAGCGGCAGGATCGCGCCGGGCACGGCGGCGTTCATCCCGAGCCCGAAGCCGGTCTGCCCCATCGCGAGCGCGTGGAGGAGAACGAAGTCGGCGGACGCGCCGGCGAGACCGACGCCCCGCGGGGACCGACGGCCGTCACGGGGGCGAGCGGCCGCGTTCCCTCCGGACGCACGGAGGCCGCGCACGACGAGCTGGACCGCTCGGACGCGGATTGTTCGCGGCGGCGGTCGAGGCGGCAAAGTGCGGTGGCGGTGCCGGTGGCGCCGGCGGGGAGATTCTCGGCACCGGAGGCGGGTCGGCAGCTTGGCATCTCCCCCGGTCGGCCCTCGTCGCCGCCACGTGGAGACGCGCGGGGGGCCACCACCACTTCGACGGAGGGTGACTGCGAATATTTCCAGGCGTCGTCGGATCGAAGCAAAGGCGACGGCGACGAGGTGGACGGCTCCCAGGGAGGAGGAGGCGGCTCGTCCTCGCGTGCCACGGAGCGAGACGGCGAGCGTCGCCCACGTGACGCGCACGCAGAGGAGGAGGAGGAGAAGGAGGAGTCCTACCTCACCCTGTCCCACAGCGCGAGTCTCACAGCGGACGAGGGAGAGCCCCTGGAAGGTACCCGCACCCACGGAAGCGCGAGTCGCCGGCCCCATTGTCCGATCTCGTTTGTTAAACTAATTCAGGAAAGATTCGCCGAGTACGGGTGCGATGGATCAGGAGCGTGCTGCGGTGGGAATGTTTGTCCGGCCGTTCCCAGCAGTGAGATTTTGGCTTTGTCCGGAGTGCCTGGAGAATGCCCAGCAGCACGCAATGCGGCAACACCATGGAGCTCTCTCACAGTCGGGGTTCCAAGGGCTCACGAACCCTCGGTGACGAGACGTTAACTACGTCGCCTGGTATACAGGAGGTTGTGAGTTTGATCCCAACCGTGATGCCTGTTTCTTTGAAGTTTGCGTGTCTCTCTCCCCGTGGTCACGTGGATTTTTCTCCAGGTCATCCGGTTTTCTCATTCACATTTAGAATCAACATCACGCATTTAGCGTATTTGGCTGAATTTCCACGTGATGATACACCACTTCGTTCAGCTATCGTTTGTGGCCAGGTCGCTTCTGAAAAAGAGCTACATAGCTCAGTGGATGTTACCTGGTAAAATAAAAAAATAGTTTATAGTTCATCTCCGGGTTACACTTTGCAGCCCCGGTGGATTTGGGAGTTTCACAGATGTCTACGTGATCCACCAACCTCTGCCTCCTAAGCACGGCATCGCCAGCGGTGCGCTTACACCACCCCCGCCACCACCCGGCTCGCTTCACCTCGGCAGTGTCTGATCCTCACACTTCCAGTGAGCGTACTGCTGCTGCTGCTCCTGCTGCTACTGCTCCTGCTACTCCTGCTGCTGCTACTCCTGCTCCTGTTGCTGCTACTGCTGCTCCTGCTGCTGCTGCTACTGCTGCTGCTACTCCTGCTACTCCTGCTACTCCTGCTGCTGCTACTCCTGCTCTTGTTGCTGCTACTGCTGCTCCTGCTACTGCTACTCCTGCTCCTGCTGCTGCTACTGCTGCTGCTACTGCTGCTGGTGCTGCTGCTCCTGCTGCTGCTACTGCTGCTACTGCTTCTGCTGCTGAATCTGCTGCTGCTGCTCCTCCTGCTACTGCTGCTACTGCTGCTACTGCTTCTGCTGCTACTGCTCCTGATGCTGCTGCTGCTGCTACTTCTGCTTCTACTACTGCTACTGCTGCTGCTGCACGGCTTCTGAGCGGCCAGCAGGCGGCGCTCTGACACCGCCCGTTGCCGCGCGAGCCCCGTGATGGAGCCGTGCGGGCTAGGCTGGGGCGACTTTGTTATTATCGACTTAAAGCTTTCGTGACCGCAGGAATTCATATTCTTGGGTCTTTCGGTAAAGTCACGTCAATAGGTTCAAATAAAATATCAAATAACTACTCCCCAATGTAACGACTGCTGCAGACACAGCTTAGTTTGTAGACGCCGGGGTATTGCATGTCAGGGATCACATCCTTCACAGATGGGATCAGATCACGAATTTGATGTCCTGTGTTAAATCGAACCTGGATCTTGTGTTTGCTCATGATTTTGGAAATCTTTTTAGCGACCCCTGCTATGTATGGCGAGGTGATGGTTTTGAAAGGGTCCTCAGATGGTTCGTTTCCCAACGGTTTGGGTGATAGCTTTACGGATTGTGTAGTCTGAATGTCCATGTATCTTGAGAGCTTGGTGTACGTGTTCCAGTTCACTGGCAAGGTGATGACGGTCGAAAATACATCGAGCTCTATGGTGTAGAGTTATGATGGGGGAATTCTTCTGGGATGGATGGTGGTGGGAGTCAGGTTTTAGGTAGGCATCCGTATGGGTGGCTTTCCTGTAGACAGAGTGTCCCATTGAGCCATCTGGTCTCTTTTCTATTAAAACATCCAAGAATGGTAACTTGCCATCCTTTTCCACCTCCATGGTGAATGTGATGGCTGGGTGTATGGAATTGATGTGGTTGAGGAATTTGCCCAGAGCTGGTCGGCCATGTGGCCAGATGACGGAACGAGTCATCTACGTGCCTCTTCCACAAGGACGGATGTAGGGTGGATGCCTGGATGGCATCTGTCTCAAAATTTTCCATGAAAACATTGGCTATAACTGGAGATAAGGGAGACCCCATTGGAGTACCTTCAACTTGTTTGTAGAAAGTTGCATTTTAGGTTAAGTCAGTGTTGGTGAGGCAGTGTCTCACCAGGGCCGGTACATCAGCATTCAGTCCTTGTTGGATCAAATCTTCAATGATTGCGATGGTGTCAAGCACAGGAACTTTGGTAAACAAAAAAACCACATCGGAACTGACGAGCAAATCACCTGGAGATAGTGAGATGTCCTTAATTAGCGATACCAAGTGAGCTGAGTTGAGTACAGCTGAGGTGGTCTTACCAGTCAATGGTTGTAAGGTCTCAGACTGAAATCGGGCCAGTTTGTAGGTGGGTGAGTCAATGGTGGAGACGATAGGACGAAGGGTGTTCCTTCTTTATGGATTTTTGGTAAGCCATACAATCTGGGTGGCCTAGCAGCAGAGGGTTTTAAGGAAACCCGATTGGTTGGTTCGATCAAATATGTCGAATCAGTGATGATATTGTTGGTTTTCGTAACGAGGCGGTTGGTGGGATCTCTTCATTTTGGTACAGCTACCATCATTAAGTAGGTCCTGAATTTTGTTATTGTAGGTGGTTTGTCCATGATAACTGTGGCATGCCCTTGTTGGCTGATAGGATGAAGATGTCATCTCTCTTTTTTTAATTGAGAAAGCTCAAAGCACTCATCTTTGCTGATGTTCCTAATACGTGTCTTAGCGTTTTTGAGGATTACAGCGATTTCCGATCTTGCCGCGTCTGCAGTAATGTGTCCCAAACTCTTAAGGGCTACGTCGACCTGGGCAATGATATCATCAACTGGGATGTGTTTAGGGGTGACTGCGAAATTCAATCCTTTGGCTAGAACCGATTTTTGGCTGTCTGAAATTGGTCTGTTAGTCTGATGGATAACAATATTGTCAACGTCTAACTTTTTGACGTGTGGATCTGGCTGCTTCTTGGAAAGGAGGTTGAACTTGTAAATCCGCATTTAGATCTTTGCATTCAGCTGACATTGAGGCAGCTGAAGAGGCTGTCATGTTATCTACATGTTCCCAATCAGATGTAGACATTTTTTTCCGTCAGTGTTAAGTGTGATTTCAGGAGAGTCTTGTCTAAATTGTATAGTTTAAATCGGAGCAATCTTATTCTCTCTGAGATCAGGGCTAGGCCGGCCCTGAACAAGATCCGTTTCGCATTGAGAGAAGTGACAGCAGGAGATGTGAGTGTGAAGGAGATCAGTATTACTTTGGTGTCGCGGCATCTCTTCAGAAATGTGAGCGACTCGATCAGATGAGCCTTCTTGTCTCGAAGTTTGTTAAAAGATCGAATAGTTGTGTGGAAACCCTCCCCGTAGAGGCAGTTCAATCTTGACTTAACGCTTTTGTGACTGCAGGAATTCATATTCTTGGGTCTCTCGGAAGAGTCACGTAGATAGGTTACTGTCAAGAGCGACAACCCCCCCCCCCCCCACCGCGGAGATGGAGCGACGAAGTCGGCTTCCTTGCCCCCCGGAGAGCCATTGCATGTCGGGGACCTGGAGAGGTGGCGACGTCCAGCGGCGGATTGAACCGTGACCGACGATGTTGTTAAGCCTTGACCAAATAAGTGGTCGAGTGTGTCGCAGAGCCCTGACATGTAACAATGCGGGGCCTGACGATATTTTCCACGTGTCGACGAAGGTGCACAGGTGACAACTGTCTGGAAGGGCCCACTGCACGGGGCGGTTCCTCCTTCCCCACGCTACTCATCTGCAGAACGCCCCAACGTGGCAGCAGCCACCTGAGAAAGAGACCTGAGACTCGCCGAGCCTTTCCTAGGATACACAAGCCACATCCGCATTGCTACCACGATTGTTATTGTTGTGGGATGGCGTGGTGAACAGTGCCCGGATTATCCTCGTAGCAAAAGTAGCTACATACTGTATGCTACGGGGCCTGCACTTTCAAGGGCCCAGCGCTAAAAGCTTTCAAGCTACCAATTCCGGTTCAGTGATTCTGCAATTGCTCTATTACTATAGTACTACATCGCCTTCAACTTTTATGAACGACTGGGTGTTTAAGGTTAGCGATTTGTCGTATTATCTGGCTGTATAGCAAATGAAAAAATACAATTATATTACTATGCAAGTAAAAAAATTATGTTTCAATATTTATGTTTTTATTTAGTGCCCCTTTATAACATATGCTACAGGCCCCACACTAGCTTAATCCGGCACTGGTGGTGAAATATGGTCAAATAACCGCCACGACCCGTAAGACGTGGAGAGCACCTCCACCAGCAGTGGATTGACAAAGGGCTAGACACGGCTTCTTGGTTCTTTCGGTAAAGTCACGTAGAAGGGAAATAATAAAATAATACAAATAAAACAATAAAATAATTCTCACGATGTTTCGGCCACAACGCAAGCAGCCGTCCTCAGGTGAAGAACAGGTCTGTCGGAAAGACAGCGCCTGAATGAAACACCACCAGGCTTGGAGCGTATATTTAAGCTGGGTTGGAGGGGGAAGAGCGCCTTGACAAAATAATTTGCATTTCAAGAGGAATTTTGCATATTTATGGGAAATTCAGATATGGGATTAGTCATTACTTGTGGAATGCGTAGGAGGTGGGGGGGGTTTCAAAGTCATAATATGCCCGTGCATTATGCAGGATTTGCATCATCAAAGGGAGGGAGTAGGGTTAGCATTAATAAAGGGAAGGAATGTTAATAGTATGGAGCTGCAGAAACTAAACCACCACGTAAAAAAAGTATAAACTACATCAGTATCATCAGTATACTAAATATACTCTCCAATAAGCTGAGCTACTTACAGTAAGTAATACATTACAATTCTATGTCGCAAAAAATATAATATGTCTTCTTGGTTCTTTCGGTAAAGTCACGTAGAAGGGAAGTAATAAAATAATAAAAATAAAACATAATTAAACAATTCTCACGACGTTTCGGCCACAACGCAAGCAGCCGTCCTCAGGTGAAAACCAGGTCCGTCGAGGCGACAGAGTCTGAATGAAACAGCACACGAGCTTGGAGCATATATATAAGCTGGGCGCATTGACAAAGGAATTTGCATATCAAAAGGAATTTAGCATATTTATGGGAAATGCAGGAATGTGATTAGTACTGCATATGCATGTGCATTATGCAGGATTAACAGCATCAAAGGGAGCTGCAGTTACTGCTGCTGCAGCAGTTGCTGCTGCTGCAGTTTCTGCTGCTGCTGCAGTTGCTGCTGCTGCTGCAGTTGCTGCTGCTGCTGCAGTTGCTGCTGCTGCTGCAGCAGCAGCAGCAAGTGCAGCAGCAGCAGCAACTGCAGCTCCCTTTGATGCTGTTAATCCTGCATAATGCACATGCATATGCAGTACTAATCACATTCCTGCATTTCCCATAAATATGCTAAATTCCTTTTGATATGCAGATTCCTTTGTCAATGCGCCCAGCTTATATATATGCTCCAAGCTCGTGTGCTGTTTCATTCAGACTCTGTCGCCTCGACGGACCTGGTTTTCACCTGAGGACGGCTGCTTGCGTTGTGGCCGAAACGTCGTGAGAATTGTTTTATTATGTTTTATTTTTATTATTTTATTACTTCCCTTCTACGTGACTTTACCGAAAGAACCAAGAAGATGAATCCCTGCAGTCACGAAAGCTTTAAATCGAAATATAATATGCTTCCAGCTAAAAAAAATTCTCTTACATCACACGGATCTACCCCGTACTATATGCTGCCGTAGACAAACCCAACATTAAATTATATACTGTATTACTATACACCACCCTATACCTTAGACTGTACATTATAATATTACACTATGTATTATTCTATCCACCCTACTGTATACCACACTGCTGTATTTTCACTATACAATTACGACACTATATATAACCTTATACATTGTATTAAACATTACACTTTTATACTATTTATTATAATACAATCTGCTATACACTATACCATTGACCGTCGCGTGAAAGGTACTAAGAGGAAGCAACGAAATATGTCAATGGGAGAGTGGTGGTGGGAGACTTGCAGCGGAGCAAATAATTCATTCCCTGCGGAGAATACAAGATATATAGTCAATGCCAGCGAGTGGACTGCGGTGTGAAAGTCACCGTAAACGTGAACACAATGAGTTAAGATCCGAAATGGTTTATTACGTCCTTCCAATGATTGCTGAGCCAGAATCCATCTTCTCGGTTGAAATTGTCTCTGTGATTGTATATGTGGATCGCCTCATTAACGAATCTCTCATGGTAGCCAGATGGCTTGCAGAGAACCTCTGTCTTGGAGAAGTCAATGTCATGTGAGCCCACTGAATTGTAACAGTGATCTGCCACGGCTGAGGTGTTTGTCCTACCGTGTTTCAGGTCTGTTTTATGTTCACGGATGCGGTCCGAGACATTTCGTTTGGTTTCTCCAATGTAACTGCTACCACAGAGGCAACTTAGTTTGTAGACGCCAGGGTACTGTATGTCTGGAACCACATCTTTTACAGACGGGACCAGATCACGGATTTTATGTACTGTTCATAATCAACGATTTTTGGGTTTAGATCGCGTACTGTGTTGCATCGGACCTGGATCTTGTGTTTAATCAGGATTTTGGAGATCTTTTTTGTGACCCCAACAATGTAGGGTAAGGTGATGGTTTTGAAAGGCTCCTCAACAGGATCCTTCTTGATGGTTGGAGTGATGGCTCTGCAGATTGTGTAGTAGGAGTAACCATTAGCCTTAAGAGCTTGGCATACGTGCTTGAGTTCACTGGCAATGTGTTCCTGGTCGGAGATGCATTGGGCTCTATGGTGTAGAGTCTTGATGAGGGAATTCTTCTGGGATGGATGGTGGTGGGAATCCGGTTTTAGGTAAGCATTCGTATGGGTGGCTTTCCTGTAGACAGAGTGGCTCATTGAACCATCAGGTCTCCTTTTAATTAGGACATCCAAAAAGGATAGCTTGCCATCTTTTTCGACTTCCATTGTCAATCTGATGGCTGGGTGTATGGATTATGTTTTATTTTTATTATTTTATTATTTCCCTTCTACGTGACTTTACCGAAAGAACCAAGAAGATGAATCCCTGCAGTCACGAAAGCTTTAAATCGAAAAAAAGGCTAGACACAGGTTTTAAATAATTAGAACGCCTACAGTATTCACTAACTCTCTTAGCTAAACTAAAAACCAAACCCAAAAAACCTCTATGATGGATAAAAACGAAACTCTTTTTTTATTTTACCAGGTAAGGCCCACTGAGCAATCTAGCCCTTTTTCAGAAGCGACCTGGCCACACCTAATACCTCGACGACGTGGCTTATCACGTGGAAATGTATAGCAAGAGACAAACACTCTCAACACACGTCTCGAAATGTGGAGTGAAAAACTGGAGGACCCAGAGAAAAATCCACACGGCCGCGGGGAGAACATGCAAACTACAAATATACAGCAGGCGTCACGGTCGGGATAGAACCCACGACCTCCTGTATACCAGGCGAGGTAGTTACCATCTCACCACCGAGGGTTCGTGAGCTCTTGAACCCCGGCTGTGTGAGAGAGCTCCATGGTGTTACCGCATTGCATGCTGCTGGGCATTCTCCAGGCACTCCGATTGTGTCCCGCACAAAGACAAACTCTCACTGCTGGAAACGGTCAAACAAACATTCTCACCGCAGCACGCTCCTGAACCATCGCACCCGCACTCGGAGAATCTTTCCTGATTTGTGTAACAAACGAGATCCGTAACATCTCGACACCGCAAGGAACCAAGACACACAATAAGGCAGCCACGCGGTTGCTGGTGCCAACAATTTCCCATGCTCTGCAGTCCTCTATATATTAAGGTGTTATCGTCTAGTCAATCAATGTTTACATGTGGGAGGAAACCGGAGAACCCAGGGAAACCGCATGCGAGGGGGAAACGCTCTATCCCATACAGAGGGAACAGGTGGAGTCCACATTTTTGCTGTACCACCTTCTCCTGGAAGAGCAGGGTACAGCTGCTTCTCGACGCTCACCAACCCTCGCTACCTCCACCCGGCCACGGTGTATGACCTGTGTAACCGAGGCATTCCACCGTCTCAGGCGTGAGCAGGTTCATGTTCACAGCTTGGTGGACGTTTGGCGACACGGTCGCCGCTAACCCGCCCTGCCTTCTCTCCGCCCACGGCAGTCGGAGGCGGCAGAGCCGGTGACCCCGGCGACCTCGGTTTCTCCGGCGGCCCCGGCGTGTCGCCCCGCGACCCAGCCTCCCCTCCGCGCTGCGACTCTGCCGAGTACCTGGCGCTACTGACGCCGCCGCCGCCGCCGCCTCGGTTCCACGCGGCGGCGAGGGACCTGGACGACTGGGAGCTGTCGGAGGCGGCGTCGGACCCCGGCTCCCCCGAGCGGGGCCACGGCACTCCGGTGCCGTGGGACGAGCCGAGCCCCGACGCCGAGGCCGGCGCCGGCGCGGTGACGGGGGGCGGCCGCGGCACCGGCTTCACCGGGAAGCCGTTCGACGACACGTTCCCGGACGCGTCGTCGGACGACGAGCAGGAGGGCGCGCTGCTCGCCGCCACCGCGCCGGCACTCGACCGCCCGGGTGAGCGGCCCGATCGGCGGACCTCCTTCTTCCGGTGGCCCGCCAAACCCTGCCCCGCGTAGCGACGGAGCGCGCGCGCAAGTTAGCGCCCACACAATCGTGGAACCACCGCCTGTCGCGATTCCGGTCGCTCCCTTCTTTAGCTTCGAGTCAGGCTCGGGCGGTTTGTAAGAAGTGTTCGGAGGAGACGAGGCTCGTGGGACATGAGCGCCCAAACGCCGCGCGATTCGTGCGCGGCTGGAGACGATGTCACGGGTTACTCTGTGCGGCGCCTCGGAGTGGCTCCTTGATGAACGGTCACCACACCACTCCCCACACCGTCTCCGCACTGTTACCTACGTATGCACGTTGGATTTCTTCCACGCCGCACGTAGCCAACCGGTGGTGGGGTGAGCGGTTGGGTGAGCGGTGGGGAGAGCGGTGGGGTGAGTGGTTGGGTGAGCGGTGGGGTGAGCGGTGGGGTGAGTGGTTGGGTGAGCGGTGAGGTGAGCGGTGGAGAGAGCGGTGGGGAGAGCAGTGGGGAGAGCGGTGGTTGAGAGCGGTGGTTGAGAGCGGTGGGGCGAGCGGTGGGGAGAGCGGTGGGGCGAGGGGTGGGGCGAGCAGTGGGGAGAGCGGTGGGGCGAGGGGTGGGACAAGCGGTGGGGCGAGCGGTAGGGAGAGCGGTGGGGCGAGGGGTGGGAAGAGCGGTTGGGTGAGCGGTGGGGCGAGTGGTGGGGCGAGCGGTGGTTGAGAGCGGTGGGGTGAGCGGTGGTTGAGAGCGGTGGGGCGAGCGGTGGGGCGAGTGGTGGGGCGAGCGTTGGGGCGAGGGGCGCTCACCCGCGTGTCCGTGTCGCCCACAGGAGCCCGGCGACTCCACGAGGAGCTCCGCGGTTGTCTCCGGGGACACCCGGACGCCGACGTCGCACGCAGAGTCGAGGTGACGCTCCGCCAAGATCTCACGAGAGCCCAACATCCGTTGAAACATGAGAACAATAGGGCCGGTTCTTGTCCCCCACTTCTACAATATTCTGATAAAGCGGGGGGGGGGGTGGCGGGGGGGGGGCTGAGGTTGACCTCTCGCGTGACGAGATGGCGGTGCAATGATGTGATGCTCGTTTCAAAAGATGAGGTGTGGATTCAATAGTGTGGTGGTGGTGGTGGCGGTGCGATGAATTGTGGGTCTCTTAAGTTGGGTTCCGTGGTTAAGTGTGGCGGCCATGATGAGGTTCAGCGACGTGGAGCTGGTTCCGTGACGAGGTTGGGGGCCTCATGACGAGGTGTCGGTGCCGGCGCTCGGCCGCGGGGTCCACGCAGTCGCTCGCCGTGTCACTTTTGGTGCCTGTCCCAAGAACATGGGCCGAACCGGAGCAGCCCGGTTAAACCCCCAAGCGCCGTTGGGCACGGCGCTAATCGTCGTCGGAATTGTCACGGGATCCTGCGCGGTGACTCACGCGCCGGGACAACCGTACCTTGCCAACCGTAGTAATCGGACGTGCGATTGCATAAGGTAAAGGATGGTTAATGGGAGGAATAGAAGATGTAAGATTTTGGTCGGAGGAATAATTTGATGAATGGGAAGAGTGATATGAGGAGGGATAGGGGCAATACGAGAATGAATGGGAGGAGGAGCAGGAGGAACATGAGGAGGGCGCCTTGTCTTTTGACATCCTCTCTGGAGCGTGGTTTTGGAGGAGGGTCACGGTTCACCCGCATGATGCGCACGGCCGTGCCACCGCCGCTGCTGCTGCTGCGTGATGTCTCGCAGCTGTTTGCCCAGCGGCTGGGGGAGCTGGAGGGCTGGGTGGAGGCAGCCGCCGGCGCCCTGCACGAGTGGACGCCCCCCCATGACTCCGCCAACGCCCCGAGCCCCGTGAGCACCCCCCACCCCCCCCCCCCCCCCCCCCCACCCGTGCCATCATCTTTCGCTCATTCGTTGATTTATTCGTTCACGTTTTGCACTCGCTCGCTCGTCCATTCGCTTGCTAATTCATTTACTCGTTAATTCATTAACTTACTTGCTTTCTGATTCATTCCTTTATTCACTCACATTCATTCACATGCTCCACAAGTATTCCCTCATTCATTCACTAATGCATTCATTCACTAATGCATTCATTCACTAATGCATTCATTCACTAATGCATTCATTCGCTAATGCATTCATTCACTTAATGCATTCATTCACTAATGCATTCATTCACTAATGCATTCATTCACTAATGCATTCATTCACTAAGTTTATTCTCATTCCTCACTCGCTCGTTCACATTCATTCATTTGCTCGCGCATTCACTCATTCCGTGGCTGTTGTGGCGATGTGGCAGCGAGCATCGGGGTCGCGACCTTCGTGACCTTTGTGTCCTCTGCGACCTCCGTGAGCAGCTCCGAGCATTTTAAACGACTCGCGAGAATTACGCCTGGGCCCAGCTGTCTGTTCGCCGCGTCTTTGGTCGAAATTGAAAGGCAGTATCGCGGAAATCTGTTATTGCTCGTTGGGAGTGGGGGCGGAGGGGGGGCGGAGGGGGGTGGCGCAGCGGTCGGCGCGCTGTGCGTTAAGGCCGGCCACCTCCGAGCGACACCTCGGAAGGCACACAGGGCGTTGAGCCTGGGTGGTGCACGGATGGGCGGCCACCGCGCACACGCCAGCTCGTCAGTGGGCAGCGCAGCGGAGCCCACCGTTGTACTGCACTGCCCGCGGCGACCCTTGCCGACGCGCGGCAGAATTTTTTATTTTTTATTTTACCAGGTGATTGGCTTATCATCAGACAAATACTCAAAGCACACGTTTATAAATGTCGAGGGAATAACCGGAGGGCCCGGAGAAAAATCCACGCAGTCACAGGGAGAGAGAGAGAGACACGCAAACTCCAAAAATACAGCAGGCATCAGGGTCGGGATCGAACCCACGACCTCCTGTATACCGGGCGAGGGAGTGAACATCTCCTAGCCACCGCGGTGCCCACGGGATTCAAGGCGCAGCGTGGGGATCGCTCGTCCTCCCGTCCGTATATTCATCAAGACTCTTTCGTCCACCTTTTCGGATCCATCCCGCACTACGGTTTATTTTCATTCTATTTTCACCATCCCCAGTGTCCCTAATGTTTCTTCTGACCTCGCTCCCGGCGTCACGTCGGGGCTGAATAATTAATTTGGAGCTGTCGCGGAGCAGGATACGACCCCGCGATAAGCGGATGTCACAGAGCTACCTCGGAGGTGCACCACCGATCACTGGCAGTGGCGTTCATCGCAGGATGGTCAAACCCCTACATTGTAATTCTCACAGCTGGAATTCAGCCAAATGAAGTTCAGAATCAAATTTCACCTGATTGAGGATTGAGCTGAGATCATCAACTCGCTGGAATGGGAGAACCTGAATTAATGTGTCTCTACGTGAGTTTATGGGTCTCTCTGAGTTTATGGGTTTATATTTGAGTCTATGGGTCTGTATGGGCGTCTATGGGTCTCTATGTTATTCTATGGATCTGTATGTGAATCTATGGCTCTCTATACGAGTCTTTGTATCTGTGTGAGTCTACTTGCCTCTATGTGGGTCTATGGGATTCTATGTGAGTATATGGGTCTCTATGTGAAATTATGCATCTCGAAATGAGTCTATGTATCTCTGTCAGTTTATGGGTCTTTATTCGAGTCTATGGATTCTATGTGAGTCTATGGGTCTTCATGTGAGTCTATGGGTCTGTACATGAGTCTATGGGATTCTGTGCGAGTCTATGGTTATTTATGTGAGTCTATGGGGATCTCTGTGAGTCTATGGTTCTCTATGTGAATTTAGGGGTCTCTATGTGAGTCTATGGGTCTCTATGTGAATCTAGGGGTCTCTATGTGAGTCTATGGGTCTCTATGTGAGTCTATGGGTCTGTACGTGAGTCTATGGGATTCTGTGCGAGTCTATGGTTATTTATGTGAGTCTATGGGGATCTCTGTGAGTCTATGGGTCTCTATGTGAATCTAGGGGTCTCTATGTGAGTCTATGGGTCTCTATGTGAGTCTATGGGTCTGTACGTGAGTCTATGGGATTCTGTGCGAGTCTATGGTTCTTTATGTGAGTCTATAGGGCTCTATGTGAGTCTATGGTTCTCTATGTGAATCTAGGGGTCTCTATGTGAGCCAATTATCTCGCTACACTTGAGAACCCGGTTCAATCACGGGCAGCGGCTGAAACCTGGAATCGACCCCAGCACCTCACCAATGCCAAAATCAGACGCCGACGCCCAACATAAAATAACTTTTTCTTTGTCCCGTCCATCCACGCGATATCTCCAATCGTCGCCGTCGGCACCAGCACTGCCGCGGAGTGATTGGCCATCGATCGGCAAGAGGCAGACTTCCTCGCGCCCTCGAAGTCCTCACCGCCGCTCGCGCCGCCCCCGTGGGGATTGCTGCTGCCCCGCCAGTCGCGAACCCCGGTGGTGTTCAACTTCAGACGGGGGGGGGGTGCAGCGAGGAGGTGCAGGTGGTGGTGGTGGAGGGATGAGGTGGTGATGACGACCACGCACGCTCTCTCATCCTGTTACAGACCCGTAGCGTCAGGTGGTGGGGGCTGGGGGAGGGGGGTGGTTGAAGTCCCGAAGCTCAGCACCCCGCTTTTTATAAATTCTCAAAATCAAGTCAGGAGCCGACCGCGTCGCTACGAGCCCTCCGCTTAAAACATTTGCTTAACGCTGCTGCCTTCTGTTGCGCGGAGCGGCGGTGCCATGGTCAGCGAGCGGCGCTACGAACCCGGCGACCCGAGCCCGATTCCTGGTGACGATTACCTGAACCGGTGCTCGTCCCGCCATTAATTAAGCACCTCGTGCTGTAGTTAAACCATCTGTACCCGGAGACACAAAGGCGGCTGAGCGTGATTCCAGCCACGGCACCCCGTCGCGCGGTGCCGTGCCGGCCTTCGTGGGCTCCACTCACAAACAGCGCTTGTGTGGGAGGTGGGGGGCCACCGGTGTCTCTGCTTGTATGGCGGAGCCACGGCGCGGGATCGAGCCGGGCTCCAGGAGCGCCATCACGAGCGGACGTCGTTCCTCGCCCCGCGCGCTCATCGAGTCGCCGGCGCTCCAGCAGCGTTCGCTAAAGAGCTGTCCCCGTCGTCATCGCTAAGCGGACAGGGCAGCCCGCTAATGCCTCGTTTATTGCCTCGTGATTCACAACAGTCTACTCCTAAACGATTGAGATAAGCTCCACGGCGTTAAAGTAATAACAGGTAAAGGCGCAGCCCTGCAATTGCTCACTGGCGCGGCTGCTGTGGGAAAGGCCTCCGCCAGACGGAGCCACAGAGAGCCCCTAGAGTGGGCACTATGGCCAACTCTTGCCTCACTTGGTTCAACGTCTCGGCAAGCGTGAAACACACCCACGTTTTATCCCCGCCACGCGTGCACACGCACGCGCCATGCCTTAGGGAGACTTAAGACAATCGAACCGTCCCAAAATAATAAACATCAACAACGCCAACAACAACGCCGATCTCCGCCGGTTCTCCCCGTGGGCCCTTTTTTTTTCTTTTCTTTTTCTGGCAGCAGACGTTGCAGCTGAACCCGGACGCTCACCGAGCGGCGAAGGAGCTGGTGCTGGCCGAGGGGCTCGCGCTCCTCTCGCTGCCGCAGCTCGCCCAGTCCGGTGAGTTCCCGTCGGGCACAAGGCGGTCGCGCCGCCTTCGGCTCGCGGGCGCAGCCGTGGCCGCGAGCCGGCAAACCGTGAGAGCTGCCCCGTCGCGAATATTTCAGCTTGCGCCCCGAGTCGGAGATATTAAACCGATGTGACAGCGATACATTAATGAGACGGCTCGGATGTGACAGAGGTGGGTGTGTGTGGGTGGGGGGGTGCGGGAAAGGTGTCGTGGCCGGAGAAAACTGAGTGGCAGCTCCCTGCGGGCACAGAGAAATGCTGCTCTTCGATTGTGTAATCAGCTTAATTAGCGAAGCCTCGTTTGTCCATCGCAGGTTGCTGGGCGATTGAGAACACCGATGTGTAGAGGTGGTGCCCAATACGATCTGAGCAAAGTAACGATAGGCCGTACACTGAACCCACTGTGGTCGGCACTCATTCAGCGGAGGAGGAGGAACAGCAACACGAACTCCTCTCTCTCTCGCTGCTGAAGCCTTCTCGTCGAGGCCAGCAGCAGACCGCGACATTGGCATGGCTCCTGAACACATTGCCATCACACGCACGAGTAGAACAGTCGATTTGACGAGCAGCCTGCATAGCAGGTGTTGTAGGCTGTGCGGTTGTGGGCGACTGTGGCAAGTGCAGCAAAACCCATGGTTGTACTGCATTTCTACGCTCCCACGTCCATGCTCCCCGACCGCTAACCTACCGTTGACCTGGCCGAATAACTCCCCCCACTGGCTGCCACGGTGTGTGTGGGGGTGGGGGGGGGGCCTCATCCAGCAGTGGATTGATCATGGCTGACGGTGTTGAGAGGAGAGGGTCGTGCCCAGCACGCTGCCGTGGGGGCCGCAGAGCCAGCGAGGGTGCCGCTCCCCCATTCGAGTTGTAAACTCGTCGCGACGTGGCGACACAGTACAGAGGAGATACAAAGACGGAGATGGATGAGAGGAGAGAGATTACAGACCAGAGAAGGGTGAGAGAGATTAATTCACTTCTTCAAGATAATTGGATTTTTTGTTGTTGATGAAGATCTCAATCGAGCTCATATTTCGTGCAGCCCTTTGGTACTTTCCCCGCGAAGCCCTTGATCTCTGTATATGTTTCTATGCCACACTTATTTCGCACCACCGTACGTAGCCAACCATGCTTCTCTGAGGTGCGGGGGAAGGACAACAAACAATTTACAAAAAGCAACTGCTTGGGGCCCTGAGCTTTTGCCTTGTTTGCTTAATGCCTCATCAGCACCCTTGGCATGGACGTCCGGGAGAGATGGGAGATGGATCTCTCCCCTCCTTCCCCCCCCTCCTCCCCCCCCTCCTTCCCCCCCTCCTTCCCCCCCTCCTTCCCCCCCTCCTTCCCCCCCTCCTTCCCCCCCCTCCTTCCCCTCCCCATCCTTCCCCTCCCCATCCTTCCCCCCACTCAGAAATTAGAATGCACCGCTATCCCCCGCGCACGTTCTGCAAGTTGGACCGTGCTACACTTTTGTAATTTCCTGCGTAATTTACATTTCTCCAGGCTATTATTTTAAAGTCTAGATTACATTTTATATTTTACTTTGTCTGACGAGCATTTTGGCTTTTTTTTTCATTTCTACTCAACCAATGACGATGGGGGGGGAATGGTGTGGGGGTGGGTGGCAATACATTTTTTTTTACCAATTATGATGTCGTTTCAATTTTCCCACCGCAGTGATTAACGGTGAATATAAAAAAGGAATGAGTGCGCTCCTAAAAAAAAGTCCCGCTGGGCGCAAGCGTCCGTGATTTGGAAGTTGTCGACACTAATCCCGCTCGCTCGCTACCGGGGAGGCAAAACCGAATCTCTCCTCCTCCTCCATGGCGCGGCGGCCGCGGTCTCCACTCGTGGCTAATTGGATGCTTAATCGAGATTTGTCGCGCTCGCCCGAGCGGCCCGTTGCATTTCTCCCCCGGCAAGGCCCACGAGTGTCCTCTCCCACGACGCTCTTCGGTGCCCGGCAGGAGAATCAGAAACAATTTAGCTGCCTCGCGCCTGGGGTGATAACCCTATAAATTGCAACAGATCCCCGTGTTTTTTTTTTCTTTGCACGAGGCCTCCGAATTAATGAGCGAAGATGCCGCCTTCGTCCGACGCAATTTGTCCCCACGACGGGGAGGCATGCGGCCGCATAGCATCGGGCGAAATGACTCCTTCGCCAGGGCGTGAGCCCTCTAATCACGAGCATCTCGCCCTAACCAGCGCTAATTTGTCGCCAGACGCTCTCTGCCCCGGCCGAGATTAAGCCCGTAATTAAATATTGATTCGCGATGTTTTCCGAAGCCACCCTCGCTCGCCGTGCCCCGCAGGCCTGAAGGGCGAGCTGGAGCGCGTGGAGCGCCTGTGGCGGGAGCTGAGCGAGGGGGCGCCGGAGGCGCGGGGCGACGGGGGCGGCCGTCGCCCCGCCGGCGGCGGCATCCGCGGAGACGACCCCACCAGGACGGATGGGACGAGGCCCGACCAGCCGCAGGTAACGCGGCAACGAAGCGGCGCCCGCCCGCTGCGCCCCCCCCCCCCCACCCCACGGGCCCCCCACTCCCAACAAATTCCCAACCAATTTTAACGAGACGGCCACGACTGGCACGACTGCGCTCATTCCAAAGTTTTCCTTAACTCCTCCGATTTTACAGCAAAACGAAAAGAAATGCCTCCGTTCGGAGTTCAGCTGCTGTCTGCGACCCCCCCCCCCCCCTGCTTAAGCCAGACGCGCGGCTGTACGGCGTCGTAAACGCGGGACGGGCAAGGCCCTCCCCCGCCGGGACGTGGGGGAAATCCTATCGCCCGTTCAATCGTTTCCGTGGCCCTGGGAGTGAGCACGTGCTGATTAATATCCTTTTGTGTCAACTGTGAGCCAGTGACTGTTTGTCAATAATTATTGCGGCCAGACCCTAAGTGCGCAAAAACTGAAACTTTTTTTGAAACAATTTTTTAATTAAAAAAAATATATTTCCCCTCGACCGTTCGACATCAGCCACGATCCGAGGACCCCCCCCTCCCTTCCCGACTGATTGTGATCATCGATACGGAACAATTGTAACTCGATTACGACCGCCGGGGCCCTGATTGGAATGCAGAAACCCCGAGCGCCACTCCTCCTCCTCACCGCCGCCACTGTCCGGCGCTGCGCGAAACAGCTGGAGCTAATTAAGGGCCCCCTGAGCCGGCGCAGGCCGAGCGGCCCGCGAGGCGAACGGCCGCGTTGGGTTACCGCCGCTTCAAATGCTTAAATTGGCCAACGAAAACAACAAAAAGGAAAACAGGCTTCGCTAAATGGCAGACTGTTCGATGGAAATTCCTAAAAAGATCAAATTAATCGCAAGCCACTTGCAAGCCATTTGGTCAACCTGGGGAATCACCATCAGCCACGATCAGTTCAGTGCTGCGTGAAAGCGGTGCCACGATGCTACGGCGCTCAACGTCCGTCCATCCGTCCGTCGCAGTTCAACTCTCCCGCTGCCTTCACGACCTCGGCCACGCGCATCCCCCGTCTGCATTTGTTTCATCCATTTGACCGAACAATACAAATAATAATAATGTCAATAATCGTGACAACAAAAAACAATAAGAGACAAAGTGAATCAAACGGGAAGAATTGAAATTAAGCCTCATGCGAAGTGGTACGTTGTGAGCGGCCCCTGTTTCCCTCTACCCCCCCTCGCCACCCCCCCCACGCTCTCCCCCCCCCCTCGCTCCCCCTCCCCGCGCTCTCTCGCCGTCCTAAGCTCTAATCCGTATGCGCCGTCAGCTCCTCCTTGAGGCTGCCCCTTCTCCGCGACGTTCAATTTGCATTTCTTTCATGCGTGTGATCATTCCGAGCCCCTAATTTTGTGGAAAGCTTTCCGCGTCTTCGTAAGATAATTTCGTTTTTTCTTTCTCACGAGTGATTGAAATTTCCACGTCTCCCCCGCTCGGACGTCCGTTTGATCCTCGGTCCTCCTGCCCGCGCGTGCTCGCCATTGCGCCGACGTTAAAATAAATATACGCCCGCGGCTTCCTCCCCTCTCGCTCGCCCGCGAGTCTCTCCGAGAACGCCGCACGTGCGTCGAACTTCTTTCGCGCCGTACGTAGCCAGCCGAGCTAATCTAAGACGTGGGCTTTTCTCGCCAACACACCGGTGTGCTGAACTAGTCACGAATTGGCACGTTTCGTCTACGTGACAAATCTTGCTGATTGGCTGTGTTGGGTGGTGGCGCTGCTGGAATGCTCGACATCAAATGTACATAGTGCCCGCCAGAACACGTGGTTCAGAAATATGGACGTTGACAAGGAAAGTGACACGGCTACAAAAAACAAATGTGCGCAGGGAAGCAGAGAATCGCACTGAGAGACAGAAAGTCGAGCACCTTGATGAGAGACATCGCCACGTTGAGCGTTAAGCAAAGTGAACGGGGCTTGGGGTACGGGGGAATGGTGGCCGGAGGTCGAGACTACCCATGGAGTGGCAGCCAAAGTAGGGAACGCGCCCCAAAGGACGTTCCGCTGTGGCAATGGATCAATCCGCTGCTGAATGAAGGCCTCCCCATGTCAGTCTGGCGATGAAACAATCCATCGGGCTCCTGTGCACGTTGGACATTCTCTCTCGGATGCCCTCCATACATCTGTTCAAAAAAATGTGTAAAGGGAGCGTGCATTTTGATCCTCTTCCCAAGTGAGTTAATGTTTCTAGAAGCGCCCAAGGAATATGAATCTGTCCATTCGACTTTTCAATAAAAATAAAAAAAAATCTCGAGCCCAGTAACTCTGACTAAGTCAGGGACGGGTTGTCAACTCGATTGTTTTGTCTTTGTGGCAGGCAAATGGCCCGGAAGCATCCGAGAAGTTGCTGCAGTGGCAGGAAGTCGACATCGCCGTCTCTACGGAGGAGGGGGACGAGGAGGAGGATGAGGAGCAGGAGGCCACGATGCGCGACCTCTGGGCCTGGTTGTGCAACGTGGACGAGGCCCTGGCGGGGGCGGCTGGATGGGGCCCCCTCGCGTCCCCACGGCACCACCAGAGCCTCCTCAAGGTCAGGGATCTGTCCCCACGGCACCACCAGAGCCTCCTCAAGGTCAGGGATCTGTCCCCACGCGAGCGCCCGCCCACGTGGCCGTATGGACGCAATGCCCACGTCCCGTCATCGCTCTTACGTTGATGATGCTGCTGCTGCTGCTGCTCCCGTGGTGACTGCTCCCGTGGTGACTGCTGCTCTTGGTGACTGCTCCCGTGAGCGTCACTCGCTGGTTCTGCCAGGCACACCGCGCTGTGTTCGTCCACCACACTGCAGCTCACAGCAACACAACAACAATAATAACACCACGTATAAAGCAGCTTTCATCATGGATCTCAAAGCCCTGCACAAGACACAGCAGCAGACACGAATCTACTCATTCACTCTTCCACCAACTCACCCACCCACTCCTTCACCCACCCATCCATTTACTCACTCACCCAGCCATCCATTTACTCACTCACCCAACCCACCCACCACACTTCCGGCCACAACACTTCTCTGTCTGCTGCTTTCCGTGCACTGCTGCTGCACTCTGGAATTCACCTCCTCCTCCCATCATAATCATCATTGTCGTCGCAGGTTCTCATAATAATCATAACGATGACCTTGCTCAGTGCAAGCATCGTCCTGGGTGAATTACGTTTCATTGAATCGGGTGAGGTCATCTCGTCTATCACACCTGCCACAGTGCCGTTTGTCGCCGGCCACTCGGCGCTTTGCGCTAAATAGCCGTGACGCTCCGCCTGGCAGCGGCGGTGCGCGGTTCTGCACGACGCCGCTCGTTTGCCCCGAGGGGTCGCGCCACCCGTAGCAGCGTCGCACACGGCCCGGTCGCAATGCACGCTGATTGAGCCTCATCACCACGGCTGATTACTCCGAGCGTCCAGGATTGTTTCAGCGCAATCAGTTGGCCGGGGGGAGGGGGGAGGGGAGGGCGGCATTGGGGTGGGGGGGGGGTCGACGCCGCTCTCTCTACGATCAGCGCGATCGCCCCGGCGCTTCTCGGGGGTGTCACGGCGGGTCAGCCGCGCCGCTCCGCCGGCACACCGAGCCGCCACCGCCGGTGTCTCCGCGTCAATCGGCGCGTCGCGGCCCGGTGCGGCTGACGGAGGAGAGGAGGGGCAGTGGAAACGGGAGTGGAGGGTGCGGGCGGTGACGGTTGAAGAAGCCGCCGCCGCCGCTTCACCTGCCATGCCGAGAGGTGGAACCGGCGACCTCTCGTTCACCCGTCGTGAGAACGCCGCCGTCCGTGAGCGACACTTTATTCAAAAAGTAGCAACCGCGTCTCGTCGCTCATTGTCTTCCCAGCTTCACGACGTTTTGTCAACGTTGGCGATTAACCCGCCCTTACCGCCCCCGCCCCCCCCCACCGCCCCCGCCCCCCCCAGCCCCACGCTCGCCGTGGTCGTCGCGGTCACCACAAGTCGCCATGGTTGTTCTTTCGAACTTTTTTTTTGTGTTTAGTTTGTTTCCTTACATACGCACCTCCAATGAGCACGGTTGGCTACGTACGGTGCGAAAGAAGTTCAACATACAGTCCATACATGGTTACTGTGGCCATCATTACCATGGTCGTCGTAGTTACCGTGATTGTCATAGATACTTTGGTTGTCACGGTCAACGCAGTCAATATAATTGTCATGGTTACTGCGCTGCTCATCATTTCTGTGGTCACGGTGGTCTTTTAGAGGGCGCCTTGTCATGGTTACCACTGTTGTCATGGTAACTACAGTCATCGTGGCTACCGTGATTGCCACAATCACCACGGTAACCTCGGCCACCGAGGTCTCTCCCCGGGTTGCCACGGTAACGCCCGGCACGTCTAATTCTCGCGCTCCGCCGTGACGCGAGTTCCGCGAGGTTCTTACCGAAGCGCGACAAACCGAGCAGATGGGCAAAACATTTTTTTTAGATCAGGAACCACAAACTTAAAACAAGAAAAAAATTCAGAAATGTGTTCCTATCTGGATACGTCGACGGAGCCGTGATCAAAGCAGGCGCCGCCCGCTCGCTCTTCACACCCCCCCCCCCCCCCCGTGCATCGTCGCCTCCCCCTCAAGAGCTGCCGTGGACGAGAGCCGGCGGACGTTCGATGATTAGTTTTACTCTTTGAGGTCCACGAGTGTGAAGTCGAACCGTGGATCGCTCGGCCCAGGTGTCGCTGTGATGTGCCGCCCTCTACCCCCTCCCCCTCATCCCGCCCCCATCCATACCCCCCCCCCTCTCTCGATTCCCACCGAGTTCCGCCTCCCAATCATCGTTGGCCGCGCCGTCACCCAGACGGCCCCCCGCACTGCCCCTCATTGCGGCGCGAATCAGGCGTAGCTTCGTTCTTCTTTGTACGAACACGCACGGTGGCCGTTCCCGTCGATCCACTGCTGGATGAAGGCCTGCCCCCGCACGCCCCATGCTTGGCCGCGCCCGCCGGTGCCGGCCCGGCGAAGGCAGCCGGGGGAGCGTCGAGGCCGGGGGAGCGTACGGGCGCAGTACAGCGGCGCCGCGCCGGGCCTGTGACGCCGTGGACAACAATCGACCGCGTGCCCGAGACTCTCGGTGCGAGAGCTGGTCACGGGTTCCTCCGGTTTTTCCGGTTTTTGCCCTTCTTAGAAAGGTGCGTTCAGATGATTTGGCTGCGACTATAAATTCGCACGTTTGATGATGATGATGATACAAGCCACTTGGATGAGCTGTCATGTATGGCCAGGTCGAGCTAATGGCTTAGTGGGCTTTACCTGGTAAATAAAATAGTTTATTATCTGTGTCCCCCGGACCCTGTAATCAGTCCCCGAGGACTGCGCCAGGAGCCGATATTCCGGTAAAGATCATCGTCCCTACCCCGTATTTGGTGCTCGTATTTTTTTCTGCGACAAGGCAATCTTGGTGTAAAATCTAAACGCGTTGGTAGGTCAGCCCACTTTCCAGACTTGCTGGGCATTCAATGCGGCTTTACTCCGGTGCTAAATCTGTCCTGACCCATGCAGCGTCTACCCATGACCCCTAACTCCTCACCCTAACCCAAGTGGGGGGGGGGGCATGACTATTTGGTCGGAAACAAAATAATAATGAAAACTGGGCAGTGGAAGGAGGAAGACTCACCGAATAGTAGCAAAATAAACACATTCCTCAAGAAGGAAACATCTTAAAAATCGGTGACGTTTTGGGCAACGACCCTTCCCCAGCTACAATCGCGCCCGCGAGTCGTGCGGGAACCTCGCCCGGCCGTTGTCTCCGCGTCGAGCCGCTTTGCGTGAATCCCCGTGAGCGATGCTTTTCGGCCGCGGCGAGGAATTTGGCGACGTGTCCATCGCAGCCGCGGCCCTGCGTCTGTCGCGGAGCATTGCCACGAGGACGCGGAGACGCCGTCCCCCCGCTCGCTCGCTCGCTCGGCTCCGGTTCAAGCGCCGGGGCGGTCGGGCGCCTTTGAAGCCGCCTCCCCTTTCATTCCGACTCCGCGGACCCGCGTTTCTCCACCACCTCCTCGTCAATGCGGCCACTGTAGCACTTGGCTCGCCGAATATATTTTCTGAGGTCATCCCAAGGTTTGCGCGGATTCCATTTTTCATCCAGCGGCGAGTTTCCGCACCCCCCCCCCCTCCCCAGCAAATTATTTCCTCTGCCTCCACCGCTCCGACCCCCCCCCTCGCCGCCCAACCGGCCCAGCACTGAGCACCCGTTCTGAATCGCGCCAAAGCGGCCGACGATCCTGGGACAAACGAGCGCAGCCCTGGCGCTAACCTTTAACCCTTAACCCGGCTGCACCGCCGTCGCCCCGGCGCTGCGCTGGAGACTGCAAAGGCGCCGGGCGCTGTCGTTGAACATCCTCTCCGCCGCCAGGTCTCGTTTCGCCGCGTTAATTTCGCGCCGGATAAGGATGCGGAGCGGCAGAGGGGGGCACCAGGGCGGCGAGAAAGTTAACTACCTCGCCTGGTATACAGGAGGTCGTGGGTTCGATCCTGACTCTGGCACCTGTATATTTGGAGTTTGCGTGTCTTTCTCTCTCCCTGTGCTCGCGAGGATTTTTCTCCGGGTCCTCCGGTTTTTCACCCCACATCTGTAATCCGCGTGCGTTTAGAGTTTTTGTGTGCTATCAATTTCCACGTGACCATAAGCCACTTGGTTGAGCTATCATCTATGGTCAGGTCGCTTCTGAAATATGTAGCTCAGTGGGCCTCACCTGGTAGACTGGACACAGGCAGAGGAGGGAGACTTCATTTGGCCGCCACCGTCACGTGGGCCGATGGGAGGGAGAAACGTGGAGCTCGTATGATGCACGCTCTGTGTGCACTTAAGTGGCCGTTATTCAACCAGCTGAGAGATGGTATTCGTATCCTTTTGTTGCGAAGTCGCCGTGTGGATCCCTACCGACGCGTTCTTCCGCCGCCGCCCGGCACGATGTCCGACGCTTCGAAGGCTGCACACGCTGCGAGCTTCTTTGGGGAACTCGAGCGAAACGTCAGACATCGTGCCGACGTTTCGCTCGACGCGCGGTATGGCCCGAATACGCTTGCGAGAGTCTGCGCGTGCGTGCTTGCGTGCGTGCGCGTGGAGGTTTGCAAACACCAACACGATTCCGTTGTGAACTAATTAGACAGCAGCGTCAACTCCCTTCCCTCACATCACCTTCCACCCCCTACCACCCCACCGCCCCCCCCCATGTCACCTTCCACCCCCCTACCCCCCAAACGCCCCCACCCACCCCCCCATTGTTCACAGACAAATTAAGGCCACTTCCCTGTCGATTATCCTCATCTTCCTCTGTGCGTGTACCCACACACACGTGAGAAGGCGCAGCGTGAATTTCACACCCTCGGCGTCGATCCTCGCACGCGAGGCTTACTACGTAAGCGGTGTGCAGACTCGCGCAAGATTCGCACGGAGCCGTGGGCTCGCAGAGCGGCCGCCGGCTCACCGCCCCTCCGTGCAAAGCGACCATCGCCGCCGCTTCTGCGCGCACGGCGCCTTGGGCCGCGATCGCATTGAGACGCCGCCGCCGCGTAAACCCAAACTTTGACGGT